GCTTTCTTTAGAATTCAGAAAACCTCAAAAGGTTCAGAGATTAATTTCAGTTTGGATAAGCACCCAAACTTGTGAGTGCTTATGCGGATTCTTTACTGAAACTCCTTGGATCTAAAATCTCACTGGGAAGGCCTGCCTTATAAAAGTTCAAGTACTTGAAGTTTTATCAAGAGAATAATTTCCCCTCAAACACTGGCCTTTCTACTTCTTATTTTGGGTAAGGTAAAAAGACAATGGCCATTGTTCACTGTGCACAGTTTATCTTTCATTTGACATGGGCTATGCATGATTAGAAAACCCAGTAGGGCTCTCAGAGAGGACGTAAAAAGGTGGTTTTTTTTTTTTTTTTTAATTCATTCAGTAAAGATTTATTGGATGCCTACTATGTGCTGGAAATGCAAAAAGCTGGACTTTACTTCAATCTCCATAATTCCAGATTTACTCTTCATAAATATATTTTACAGATTGTATATTTCGTGTGACCTTAAATTAGACTAGAAATGTCAAAAATATTACTGCATAAGTCTCCCTACCACTCTTGTTTCACTGTCTAGAATTTAATTTAAAGATTAGATATTATTACTTACTTCCTGTTACCTTATAATGTGTATTTCTATTATCCCCATCACAGAGCAGCTTAGGTGCTTTTAAATCAAAACTCTTCATTGACTCTCCCTTTCTGGGTCAAATCCATACCATCAAGAACAAAAGATGAATGGGATAGCAAAGGTAATTCCTTTTGCTTGATGTTCCCATTCAGTATTGAGTACATTTCTTTGTTTAACTCTCTTTTCTTTTACATTTCTCAGGAAAATTGGAAAACTGAATCTTTATAGTCAACATTAAGCCAGATTGTGTAATCTGAAAATATTTGAAATGTTGAGGCAAAGGATAAGCTCTATCTTTTATCCTACTAATATTTGGGCATTTGCTCTTCTATCCTTGTTACGAGAGTCCCAAACCAATGCTTCATGGGCCGTTGTCCACCAAAAGATGTGTCTGATTTGCCTGTAAAATATTTTAAAATTTGTATATGAATTTTCACACAGTCTGCTAATCTCCACTTTGCCATACTCTCCTTTCTCCAGTAATATCTATTGTCACATTCTTGTTACACTTCACATGTTGATATGCTCACCTAATTCCATGGGCATTTGGATTTATGATTCTTGAATATAAAATTGGACCCAAGTGGGAGGTGAGATATGGAGGGACATGAGCTTTTGATAATAGCTCAAAACATCCTAATACTAGGTTTGGTTGAAATGCAGTAAGAAAATGCAAAGTTTGGTTAAGGCTCACTCTCCCACACCTTCTTCATATGGATGAATAAATAGGATGACCTAAAGGAAGGAAGCCATTCTATTTTCTTGGTCCTTCCCAAGAGAGCTTTCTGCAGTGTTGGGGATGAGTAAGCCTGCATACTTAGAAGAATGCTCTCCTTTAGTAGACACTCGCAGGGATACGCACATTGTCTCAAATACGAGGATGCTGCTTTCCAGTGCTCAAGGATCAGGAAAATAATACTTATAATCTCTTAAATCAAATTGCATGGATTCTCAGACTGTGTTTTATGGTGTGGTAAGGTAATGTCTGAGGAAAACGGGCAGTGGAATTACAAAAATTTGTCCTTTTCCTCAATTTTGGCAGGATCCTACCTACATAGAAAGTGTCACTGACACTTGCAAATTCGTTGAGGAGATCAAGGACGGGAAATAAGTTGAACCTAGCCTGGATGTGATACTTCTTGACTTGCTCTGTGTAGCCCCCTCACTTGAATTCTATATCAGGATCTTAAATTATGTTTCTGTTTTGGAAGAGGACAGGGTCGTGTGCACTAGAGGATTATCTTTGCCCAGATCGAGGTTTAGCGTTTGCCATCAGCTCTCGGGAAGTAATCTTTGAACCCTTGGAATGTCGTCTCTGATATGAATGTCTTTGTTCATCAGCGGGATTTGAGCCACACTAGATAGGCTATGCTAACTAACAAAGTGATTTATGGTGGAAAGCCTTGTTCCACATGGTATCAGCTAGGGCTGGAGACTAAGGTTAGCTGCACAAATGGTCAACCATGTCTTTGTGACCAAGCCCCAATAAAATTCTGGCCACCCAGAATCGAGTAAGCTTCTCTGGTTGGCAATACTTCATGTGTATTGCCACACATTGTTGTTGAGAGAAACAGACGCAGTCCTCCCACAACTCCACTGGGAGAAAACCAGAAGTGCCATGCCTAGTCTTTCCTCCGTTAATTTTATTTGCATCCTTTCACTGAAACAAACCCTAAGTATAACAGCTTTTCTGAGTTCTATGAGTCCATCTAGTGAATTATTGAACTTGGGGATGATTTGGGGAACTTAGAACTTGCATTTGGTGTCAGAAGTGAGGGTGGTCTTGGGGACTCCTGAAAATGCAGGTGGAGGTGGGTAGAGGGATGGGGGAGAATATGGAAGTCTCCAGAATGTCTGCAGTGGCTTTCTGAGGGTTTTGTCCCCACAAAATGCCACTGTTGTCAGAAGGTAGAGTGTCCTCAGACTTTCAGTCCTTATCCAGCTCACAGAAAGGGGTCTGGGGGATCCGCAAAAGGTAGCCCAAGTTTCTAAGCAACAACACATAGATTCTTCTCCATCTCTCTAACCTGGGCTCCACTAAGAGAAAAAAGGAAAGCCAGCCAACTCATCTTTCTTTCCTATTCAGCATCTTATTCAGTAAATTTTTCTAAACCTGCTTCTCAATATCTCATTAAGGAAAAAGATAATTACAATATTAACATCTTGCTTCCCAACACTTAGTGAAGTCACCAGCATTTAACTTCACACTTAAAAGAAATGGGTACCAATGTATCTGACACCTATTATTCAAATGCAAATCTCATAGTGATGCTGAAAACTCAGTTTCTTTTCATTTCTGACTACGAAGAACAGATGGCATTTTCCGTGTACTGATCTAAAATTGCCCGTGGGACTGGAGGAAAAAATACAGGTATGTGTCTAGATCCACCTTAGAAAATAACAAATTATATTTGGAAAATATACATCTAGACTAATTCCACTTGTGATACTAATAACATGCTGCCAAACACCGGGAAAGCTTTTTCAGTACCTAGCACTTCCCTTTTTAGTATAAAGCTACAAGTCCTAGAGCAGGAATATAGGGTGCCCAATGGCATACACCCACTGTTTCCTCTTTCCCAGTACATGGTCCATACAGTAAGTGGGGAACACGGGGTGGCTACTGGTTCCTATTCCAAGTACTTAGGAGGGATTGCCAAGTACCTGTCACCATGCCAAGCACATACATTATCTCCTTTAATCTTCCAACAGCCCTGGAGAGAGAAGGTGTTTTTCTCCCCATTTTCGGAGACGAGGAATCCAAAGTGTAGAGAGGCTAAAGGGTCTGCCCAAGATCACAAAGGTGGCGACAGCCAAATCCACATTCCAACCCAGCTCTGTCCACCTAAAAACATTTTTTTAATCGCTACACATTCGGAGTTCTGGTTAATTATAGCCTCCGATTAGAGCAATTTATCCTATATATCATTAATGGATTGCTAATTTTCAAAGAATTAAAGTCTAGTAAAATACCCCAAAGACTAAAAGTACTAAAATTATACAGAATATAATCAAATTTTTCTTGGACATTTCAGATGATACTTTAAACCCTTGTAATGTCTCAGGTGCATCATCCTGCAGAAGACTGATAGTGCTAATGAAGTGTAGGTCAAAAGAATAACAGATAAATTAGCTTCCACTTACACATAATCACTATCCTAATTCTCATAAATACTTTTGTGGAGTTCATGATGTAGTGATCTAACTTTTTTTTTTTTCAACTCAAGTTAACAAATCTTTATCTAGAGCTTTCTTTGTGCCAAGCCCTGTGGTAAGCTCTGGGCAGCAGTAATAAGTGTGATATAATGCCCGTCTTTAAGGAGGACACATTCTGACTTTGGAACACTACATTATCCGCCTTGCAATAGCATTACCTTGTCAATATTTAATTGGCTGTAAGTGGAATATTAACAGCAGCAGATCTACATTTTAAAAAGTTACCATTGGTATGTCCACTGATGTTGTAAGATGGCTAAATACTACTTTTCTCTTCTTTTCTTCTTTATGCTATCTTCTATAATGAGCTGTAACTCCCATGTCCCCCAACGCTTTTTTGGAAACTCTCCCCCATACACAGACACACACAAACACACACACACATACACATACCCCTTAGTAAACGATTCATTTGGTGTCTGTGTGTTGTTTGTGGTATTATCTGGCATCTACCGCTGGTGCATATTCACAGGAATTTTACAAAAATCTCTCCTATGACTCTTGGGAGGGAAGGGAAGCAGGGAACAAAGGCAGAAGGAAGGGAGGTAAGGAGCATAACCTTCCCTTTGGCAGATGTCTGGGAAAAGGAGACTTTTTATGAGATCACTGCATCAAAGGGAAGTAAGAAGTTTCCAGGCTGCCAGTCACAAAGCCACCAAAAACTCACTTTTAATGAAAAAAGAAACTGTTAACTCCTGCACTGTTGTAAAATACTTACCAAAGACACCTTCCCTGCTAAGTGCCATTCATTTCAGGAGTGAAATGCTGTAACAGAGAAAAATGCCCAGGGCAACTGGGAACCAGAGAAGGAGGGAAGTGTGTGGTTCAACTGTCCCTGTAGGGGAGGGAAAGCAAAGCGTCTCTTTCCTTGACAGCTAACCCACTTAACTACTGTGCAGTCAGCCCTATTTGGCACCAGTGAAAATTCAGCCTTCCAGCAGATTCCCTGCCATCTGCCTTATGACTACCAGTCTACAGTCAACACACCTTGAATGCTTAAAATCCGCAATGCTCCCAAGGGCTGCCTTTTGGGGGCAATTACAGGATCCATGGAAAGAAAATCTTTACTTTCCCACTTGGCTTGGGTTTCCAAATTTAGTCAAAATTCTGGAAGAGAATGTTCAGATAAACATTATTCCCTGATTTTTTTTTTCCTTCACCTTGGTGCTTTTTTAGTACCCATAGCCAGCAGCCATGGAAGCTGAGAGAGTGACAAATGGCCATTGGGAAGACTTGAGTCTCCAGAAAATCAGCAGAGATGTTATTCAACTGACAAGGCAAAAAAAGGAGAAATGAAAACAGAAACAAAATAAGCTCAGTTTTGGCCCCAGGGCTCTACCAGGTATCTGCCAATTTATTCACCCTGAAATCTGAAGAGATTACAGATGGAAACATTTTCTTTTTTTTTTTTTTTATTATTTCTTTACTTTATTGGGACTTTAGTGGTTACTATTTGAAAGTTTCCTTCTACAGGGCTAAGAAAGAAGCTAAGACAATTGCTCAAAATCTGTAGAGGGAAGTGGGAAATTTTTAGCGTTTACTCACTTAGATCACTGGAGTATATGTCTCAGTAAAGCCAAGTACAGCACTTCCAAAATGTATCCGTCTTCCTCAAGGAAAAAAGGTGCAGACATGTTTGATTTTTTTTTCTTTGTACACATTTTTTTTTCCATGGGATTGAATATAACCAAAAAACATCTTCCTGCTCCATTTGGGTCCTCACTGTGATCAAAGTTAAATGATTTACGCACTAGTCCAGTTGAGGACCTAGAATATTAGATAATTGTTTGATAGCTTTACGGTGTGAAAAGTCTGGGGGACAGTGGTATGGATGTTACAAATAGTTTTTTGATGTCAGGTTAGCATCATCCTTCCCACGGTTTTCTTTTTCCTCTTGATTCCCCAGTAATTTTTATCTACTTCCCCTTGGTAAATGCTTCTGCTTAAGCTGGATTAATAAACTCCTTTAACCTCTTCAATTCAGATCCACATTTATCAGATTCATAGCTATACTCATTTTCCTAGGCATATACTTAAAGTGATCATCAGCTCAGATATAAGTAATGACGGAACAACTGTATTTTTCAATACAGTATGTAAAAATACACTAAAGCTGAAACAAAAGTTTCCCAGTTAAAATAGGAAGTGACCTAGTTTCAACCAAAAATATATTCACATCATACTGCACCTATGTTCCAAGGACGGTTTGCTAATTTCGTAGAGACATTTAAAATGCGGTATGTTATTCTATAGCATCTTAACATGGATTTCAGTCACTTCCATTCAGAATGAAACTTAGATTAACTCTACAATCAATACTCATCTTCCATTCTTTTTTAGATTTTTTGGAGACAAGAATTATTTCTCTACGTTGCAAATAAGAGTCTTACTTGCTTAAGAATTTCTACCCTGTCAGAATCAGGATCAAAAGGCACATGCGTGGCAACTTTTTTTTTTTTTAACCGAAAAATGAGTGAATGATCCCAAACGCACCGCTTGCACTTAGCAACTTTCAATTGAGTGCTGGAGCCACAAACAGTGTTTCCCCAGCCTCGCGATCCCTGTTGCATCTGTTGGGATGCTCTCATTAGCAGTTCCCAGAAGCTGGGCATAAGTTCCACAGAAGGGACTGATGCTTTGAACTCAATAGGTTTCTTCAGGGTAAAATTTTACACCAGGGCTCCAATTAGAACCTAAGGCTGATTACTTGCATTTAGAGGCCTCCTGTCTAAATCCTAGCTCTCTTCATCACTAGATCGATGTTTCTCCACTAGATGATTGATTGTGAGAGCATTTCAGAGGTTTCCCCCTTAGAGGTCTACTTCCTATTACTTTTTAGGAAACTCTGATGGACTTTGCTTTAGTAAACCAAGAAAATGACTGTGAGTGTGAGCCTCGATTTATAACCCAACAGTACCCCTTACCATTAGTGTCAGCTTGAGCGAGTTGCTAATCCCCTCAAAGTCTTAGTTTCCTTATACATTGAACGTAAATACTTAACAGTACTGGCTTTAAGGAGTTGCTTTGATCATTAACTCATCTGTAAAAACATGACAATACTATAGTAAGCTCTCAAAATATGAGATGTTATAAGCTATTATTATGCATATTATATGTATATATTATTAGTTCTTTCTGGTTCACTGGAGTCTCATCAGAGTATAACACAAATTATAACATAATCTAACATGATCTTGAAAATCTCACTAAAGTAGTATGTACTCTCTCAGGTGCAGAGCCTTGAAAAGAAACAACATCTTCAGCAAACTGTCACTGCCCTATTGATACCCTTCTGTGCGTCACTTACCGCGTGCAAACACCTGCAACTCTCTGCGTAAGGATTTTCATCTGGCAGTGGGAGCACCCTCAGCCTGTGGTGGAGGTCAACCAGAAGTCTGGAGAGTTAATGTCTCTCAGAATCCTCAACCAATGACAAACAAGGAGTTGAAAGGTAAATATCACTGCTTCTTTGGCCATCAGTCAGGATAAATTAGATGTGTTCTCACTGTCTCCCGGAGTTCCCTTGAGGGGCTGAGCTGGATATCCTCAGATAACTGGCACAGAACATACCTTTTATTGTCTTCATTCCCTTTCCTGATTTACATCTCCACTCTCCCAGTATTTCCTGGGATGAAACCCCCCACCCCCAAATACGTTATTTAGATTTGAATGCTCGTGTCAGAGTCAGCTTCTGGGGAATTCAAACTAAGACACCTTTAGATAAATCCGTTATAGCCGTGTTTTCATTCAGTGAATATGGAAACAAATTGTTCCTTTTTGGCTGAGGACGTGGTAGTATAACTGACTTGATTTAGAGACTGTATACTATGTATATGTGTACGTAAGTCTGTGTGTATGTATTCTTAGAGTTGAAATGATAGTGGAGCTCAACAGTGTGGTTCTGCCTTCCCATTCCAAATTCCAGAAGTTTCTTCATTCCTCTGAAAGTTTCACCTAGAATATGGGTCTTAGATCTTCCTCTTCTATTCCCTTCCTGAAAATTTCACTTCAAATCAGTAGCTGGGGCAGCCCAGGCAGGTAGTTTTGCATGAGGAAGGAGGGAAGCCACAGCAACAGCGCATGGGGAATTAGGTAATAAGTAGGATGAGAACAGTTGAGGTTCAAAAAAGGAAACAGGGCGCCAGGGTGGCTCAGTCGTTAAGCGTCTGCCTTCGGCTCAGGTCATGATCCCTGGGTCCTGGGATCGAGCCCCGCATCGGGCTCCCTGCTCTGCGGGAAGCCTGCTTCTCCCTCTCCCACTCCCCTTGCTTGTGTTCCTGCTCTCACTATGTCTCTCTCTGTCAAATAAATAAATAAATAAATCTTTAAAAAAAAAAAAAAAGGAAACAGAGGTCATCTTGAAGGGGCTCCTACTGGTCAAATCTGAGACAATTTAAGCATCAAAAGAAATAATATAGTAACAAATTATAACCATTGAACAAAATATAAATCTGTGAGTTCATTCCAACATTAACTAATTAAATTTGATGAAAAACAGGATATCTACAAATTTTGAAGTACCTCCCACACAAAACACTTAATTACAAAGAGAAAAAGAGTAACATTACTGTGGAGAAACTTGGCAGACACTGCCTTACTCAAGTGATCAAACTCAATATCATCAGTAATAGGACAAATCAAAATTGTGCACAACCACAAGGCGAAGATGCAATAAAAAGCCACCACTGTGATATTCCTGCTGAAGATGATAACTGGAAAAAAATCATGAAGAAATATTTATAAAACATAAAACTGAAAGACATTCCACAAAATAACTGACATTCAAAAATATTAAAAAAACAAAGAAGTGGAGCAAGAACTGATGAACTTTTCTAGACTGAAGGGGACTAAAAGATATGACAACAAAAGGCAAAACATAATTCTTCTTGGACTCTTCCTATAATGGACATAATGGGTCTAGAGATCAAATGGTAGCAATGTTAATGTCCTGATTTTGATGGATACAATTTGGTTACAGGGTATATAGGAAATACACACAAAAATATGGCAGTCACTTACTCTCAAATGGTGCCGGGGTGGGGGGGGGGAAGTATATTTGCACTATTCTTAAAATGTTTCTGTAAACTGAATTTTTTTCTCTTTTAGTACTCAGAGAAAATACCTACAGCTACTGATATCTAGAGACTCCCCCCAAAAAGTCAATAAACTGCCAGAAGACCCCAGTCAATAAGCTCTACCAACAAAACACAGGTTTCATCAGATTTTCAGTGCCTCACACTAAAGTATGAATAATCAACCAAATATCATCAAACTTTTGAGGAAGACTTACAACATGCCAAAACAAACAAGTAGAAAGAAGAAAAAACATACATAGGAAAAAGCAGTGCTTCATTTTTTTGTTTCTTTTTTGTTGTTGTTGTTGTTGTTGTTTTTTTAACAATTTTATGGAACATTCACAGGGTTGCCACAAAGTCCCCACATGCAATAGCTACCGTTTTTTGAATGAGCTTTTCCATTTTCAAGACAAATTTTGATTCTCTCCATGTTCTTCTAGACACACTCTCCCATGTTGATAGTTGAAAATTTACTAAAGCAATACCCAATAGCTATTTTTAAGGAACTTGATAGAGCTAAAAATCATGAATCAAACCCAAATAGTAGTTTACTTCCTAGGCTTTAGAATCAGAAAGACTTTGGTTTGAATCATGATCTACCAATCATATTCAGTGTCCCTCCTGATTCCTCTTTCCTCATCTGCAAAATGGGGATAATAATATCTACCCTCATTCCATGGATATGAAAAGTAAGTGAGATAATATTCCTAACTTTCCCTAACACATGAAAGGTGCTTATGAAATGGTGCTAGTGACAGTATTGTGATTATTCACCATCAGCTTCTCCTAATCTCAAGATGTATATGTCTTTGCTCTGGAAGAGGCCCTGAGCTCATCATTTGTCTCAATCATGTTCTGTCAAAGAATGCCCATGGCAAGTGTCCCCTCATCACTCCGCTTTCTTTATGACACCCAGCACACAAACTAGTACCTATGCCAAGTTTCCTAGTTATTAGACTATTGTCTCTTATACCTGGTTGCCACCAATCATTTCCCCTTGCTTCTTACCTCTCTGCAAGATCACCTGTAAAAGCCTTGTACTCAGCCTTGTAACACAGCTGAGAAAATTCTTGAAACCAAAGGTAGTAAAGATAAGTAGACAGAACTATACATATCATTGTTATCACTTCTTCTCCCTCTCTTCCATTTCTCCCATCTCCAGGTCAGTCCACAGAGGTCATCGGTCTCTCAAACATCATTTTCATCTTAGCACTGCCTTCCTCAGGAATATATGGTGACTCCCTATTGCCTACCAGACACCAGATCTAAACTCCTAACTCAGATCCTGGGTTTCATTAGGCTTCAGCCAATTAGACTGACTACATTTTATAGTCTTGAACTGACTTTTCCATTTTGTAGATCTGATCATTATTTTAAAAAAGAACTGGTAACAGCCTATAGGAATAGACCTGTTATGGGAATGAGATGCTTGGGAAGCTGGCCCATGGTTCAGCCAATCTCACAGCAAACACTCTGGAAAGTGCTATACTAGGGAGAGAGAAGACAGGGAGCCAGAGTCTCCATAGATGTCATAGAGACCAAGAGGCAATCTCCCCAAAAATGGAGCAAGCTTCTTGGAAGAGCTTGAAGTGATCCTCACCCCAGTTTCACACTATCAGGAGCCATCAGATATCCTCAGGAGGATTTGAGGGCCATGAAAAATTCATTCTCACAGTGAGGGTTATTATACTTCTTTAGAGAAGGCCATCTATATACAATAAGTTGTATCCTTTACTTGCATTTAAATAATTTGAAAATAACTTGAATATTTTTCTTGTCTCAGTGGGTATTTCCACCAACCACACATATCTACCAGATTCATTTCCACAGAAAGACTTTTTTAAAAATTGCTTATTAAATAGATCTATGGTAGTGTTCCTCCATAATCAACCAGTTATAATTTTTAGCTGATTGCATGATCACTCTTCAGGTTTCATTACATTATATGTTACCTACAAAGAAAATTATCTGTGCCTAATTTATAGATTTAAAAAGGTGGCTTAGTCTATTTCCATATGATTTTATTTTATTTTTTTAAGATTTTATTTATTTGGGGGCACCTGGGTGGCTCAGATGTTAAGCGTCTGCCTTTGGCTCAGGTCATGATCCCGGGGTCCTGGGATCGAGCCCCACATCAGGCTCCCTGGTCCGTGGGAAGCCTGCTTCTCACCAATCACTCTCCCTGCTTGTGTTCCCTCTCTAGCTGTATCTCTCTCTGTCAAATAAACAAAATCTTTATTAAAAAAAAAAAGATTTTATTTATTTGTTTGTCAAAGAGAAAAAGAGAGAGAGAGAGAGCACAAGCAGGGGGAGTAGCAGGCAGAAGAAGAAGCAGGCTCCTGCGGAACAAGGAGCCCATGCAGGACTCAATCCCAGGACCCTGAGATCATGACCTGCGTCAAAGGCAGATGCTTAACCGACTGAGCCACCCAGGCGTCCCTCCATATGATTTCAAATAGCCAGCTGAAAGTACAAAATTCACTCAAATGTCTGCCTTTTGGTCTACATGAAATCAAACACCTAGATATTTAAAAATACCTGGGGGCACCTAGGTGGCACAGTCAGTTAAGCGTCCAACTTGATTGTGGCTCAGGTCATGATCCTGGGATTTAGCCCTGCATCTGCGCTGTGCTCAGTGCAGAGTCTGCTTGTCCCTCTCCCTCTGCTCCTCCCCTGACTCATGCTCTCTCTCTCTCTCTAAAATAAATAAATGGATCTTTAAAAAAACAAAAATAAAAATAGTTGGACCTTTGATATATCTTATAGATCAGCCTAAGAAAGAAAGAAAATTGGGAGATTCAAAGCATATTTATATATTTTTAGTGCTCCTGCTAAATTTTTACTTGGCTAATTATGATTTTGCTTTAAAGGCTAATTATGATTTTGCTTTAAAGTTAAATATTATGTTTGGGGTTTTTTTTTTTGTAAGTTGACTTGATACTAAATTATCCTTATTTTTGATGTACCTCTCATGACTTTTTAAATATATATATATATATATTTTAAGATTTTATTTATTTATTTGACAGAGAGAGACACAGCGAGAGAGGGAACACAAGCAGGGGGAATGGGAGAGGGAGAAGCAGGCTTCCCGCGGAGCAGGGAGCCCGATGTGAGACTCGATCCCAGGACCCTGGGATCATGACCTGAGCCGAAGGCAGACGCTTAACGACTGAGCCACCCAGGCGCCCAGACTTTTTAAATATATTTACTGTCATTCATTTCATTAACTTTTTTCACTCTTTATTTCTGAAGGATTTATGTCTTTAACTTAGCTTGATTTCTTACTTCATGTTACAAACTTCCTTGATTTCAGGAATCTATAAAAAATACCAAGTGCAAAATGAGAGATAAAATCAAAAGAAAGTTTCTGTTACCTGATTTCACAAAAATATGAAGATTGATGAACAGGATGGGGATGTGGTACTATTTCAATTCATCAGTGGCATATATTTCGAGCTTCCCATGTGGCACATTACAAGGTATTTTTAAATTCTTACTTCTTTCCATGAAATGAAATATGTTTACTATGCATATATCCCTGAAACAAATAGTTATTCATACTTGAAAGTGAAGAGCATGCATCTCTTGATGAATCATCTGGAGGTGGTAAATGTAAATAGCAATGTATTTATGTTTGTGTAAATGTCCTTTAACCACGCTGCTGACCAAACTTCATGTTCAGCCTCATTTTATAGGCTGCTTTACAAAAAATAATTCTGACTTAAAAATAAATAAATATATGGGAATCAATAGCACTTCTTTCTATTTCTATCTCCTTGGAACTCATCATACCTCATAGAATTGAATTTAAATACATTTCTTAATGACTAAAATGCAACTCATTCCAGAAGTCCATTGGAACTTGCCTCCCCTAAACCTGCCTAGATGCACTTAGAATAAATCCAGACTCTTTTACCTGACTGACAAGTCCCTAACTGATCTGTCCATGCACCCACCCTCATAAATGATCACTGCCTTATTTAGTATCTTATAGTCATACCAGTCTTCATGTTACATGACTTGCAAGGCTAATTTTCCCCCTCAAAACCCTTACATTTGCTGTTCCCTCTGTCAGGAAAGTTGTTTCCCCCAAATCTTTAGATGGCCTGCTATTTCTCATCATTCATGTCTGACCTCAAAGGACACAACCTTGGAGAGGTCTTCTCTAAACATCCTAACTACTCTCCATGCCATTGCCCTGGATCAGAGCCTGATCTGTATCTGACATCATTTATTTACTTGTTGCTGTCTGCCTTAGGATGAGTCCCTGGATAGCCTCATTCTCTCCACCTTGGGAGGCTTTCTCCTCCATCCTGATCATCTAAGTCTGGTCCCTAGATTCTCTCCAGGTTTCTGGTCTCTTCCCTCAACTCTCTGCTGGGACTGGAACCTGTCTAAAATCCTGAGCTGATCATGTTTGGCCCTAATCCTTGTCTTCCCCTTACTAGCACCCTCTGTCTCAGAACTAGACATAACATCCTATATCCTCATGCCTTGTCTCCACAGAGGGGCCTTCCTGAAACTTCTTATCTTTAAGAAACTCTTGCTATCATAGCTAAACTCATGAGGTCAGAATCTTTGGCTTGTACCTAGAAACTTTGATTGAACACTGACCTCCTTAAGAAACATGAAGATTATTCTTTTACTTCTCCAACATTCCTTGAGATTGTAAGTTCTCTTGATTCCCCAGTATTCCTTGATATTTTCAAGAACACCATTTCTAAAACAAAAGATTTCCCATTAATTTTATCAAGACACAAAATTATGATTCATGTAGCTTAATGCAGCGACACATGGCACAGTGAGGTGGTTAGTTGCATGAGCTTGGGTACAAATCCTACTGTGCCATTTTCTAGCCATGTGAACCTGGAGATGTTTGTCAAGCTCTCTGAGCCTTACCGTCCTACATATAAAATGGGGGTAATAAAAGTATCTTCCTGAGAAAGTTGTCATGAGGATTCAGTAAGATAAGGTAAAGTGTTCCTATTTGTGCCAGACATGCTCATATATTCTTTGGGAAGGTGCAGAATAATGCAACCCTATGGAGAGGAATTTGCAGTATATAACAAAACTACACAAGCATTCACCATTTGGCCCAGCATCACACCTACAAGGGCACCTCCATAAGTATAATACAACATAGGTACAAGGTTACTTTTCAAGGCTTTATTTGTAATAGCAAGATAATGGAAAAAAAACAAAATGGGTAATCACAGAAGACTCATTGACACAATGAAGTACTATGCAGTTATGAAAAGAATGAGAAGTACTTCTATGAATTGCAATGGAGGGATTTTTATAATATATTAAATGAAAAAAGTAAATGCAAAATAATATCATAATATATCTATATAACCTTTATCATAAAGAAAATCAGACATATATATCTCTATACACATAAATAACACATAGCTATACATATAAAGATATATACATATGCATATATATGTAACTTATTTACTTGTTTTTTTTTTGTTTTTTTTTTTTAAAGATTTTATTTATTTATTTGAGCGAGAGAGAATGAGAGACAGAGAGCACGAGAGGGAAGAGGGTCAGAGGGAGAAGCAGACCCCCTGCCGAGCAGGGAGCCCGATGCGGGACTCGATCCCGGGACTCCAGGATCATGACCTGAGCCGAAGGCAGTCGCTTAACCAACTGAGCCACCCAGGCGCCCCTTATTTACTTGTTTTTGCAGAATGAAATATGGTAAGGATAAACCAGAAACTAATGAGAATAGTTACTCATAAGAGGTGGATGGGAATTGGGAGAAAGACAGAAATAGAAAGAAGACTTCTCTTGGTAGATATTTTTAATGTTTAATTTTATTTTTAATTGTTGCCTTTTGAGCCATGTAAATGTTTTACATATCCAAAAATTAAATTTAAATTTAAAAAGATAGACCAAAAGCAAAACCCAAAATTGAATACAGACAGAAACAAATGAACCTAACCACATATCAACTTGATGATATAACCACACAGAAAAGTAGTAGGTTTTGAACACAGAAGTCTGACAACACACTTGGTGAAAACTTACCAGACAGTTCCGAGGTGGGTCTTTCTATACGGCATGTGCCCTGGAATCTTCAAAAATATTAATGTTGCAATTGACAAATTAGGTGGCAAAATGGGGTGGGGGGGCTGTTCTGAATGCACAGAGACCAAAAAGGTGGAATAACTGAACATATGTGTGTTCCTTCTTTGGATCTTGCATTCAACAGAAGAATAGCTATAAAGGCCATTGTTGGGACAACTGGGGGAAATTTGCATGTGGACTGTATGTTACAACATATTATTATATCAATGTTAAGTTCCTTGGGTATGATCATGGTAGGGTGTCTTTGTTCTTTGAAGATACATGCTGAAGTATTTAGAGATGAGCTATCAGGATTCTGCATGAAACTTACTTTCATACTATAAGCAAAAAGAAAGAGAGAGAGAGAGAGAAAGCAAATGTACAAAATGTTCATATTAGTCTTTCAACTATTCTGTAGGTTTAAATTTTTTTCAAAGTAAAAAGTTTGGGAGGTAACCCCCAAAACAAACAAACCAAAAAAATAATAATAATCTGTGCTTCCTAGCTATTACTATCTCTGATTCTCCCAGTCTGGGAGTCTGTGAGAAGGAAACCTGAAATAAATACATATGGCGGATAAATAAAAAAGAAATCGTGTACTGGGATCTATTTTCAGCCTAGTGAAGCATGTCAGTTGGTACTTTACTTATTCATTTCCCATAGGATTTGCCTAAACAAATAAAATTGCCTCCAACTTTAAAAAAGGAAGCGAGACTGTCTCCAAGCTTCCCTGGAAAGAAGCAGTTAAAATTTTATCCTTATTTTACCTCCTTATTTAGTGGTGTGCCTTGGCAGAAACTCAAGGGGAGTGTAGTTATAGCCAGCCTCTGGAAAAATCGCAGACAACACTACCTCTTGCTCTCATGAATTACGTTGGGGGACATGCCGCTGCTTCCAACTTGCCCGTCTCAATTGTGGTGACAAAGCACCAGGCCAAGAGGCAGACCCCTGGGTAGTCAGGTCTATATTATTTCAGATTTTAAATACTGAAAGCGAGACAGAAAGCCTTTCTCCGAGATCAGAGAGTAGGAAGTGTAATTTACAATAGATTAGGCTCACCTTATCTGGGGAGGCATTTAAAGATCTATAGGCCCTTCCTTTTAAATTCCTGATATACAATTGACCTAACAAAACACCTTTAGACACTCCTAAATTATATACTTAAAAAAAATCTTTTTCCCAGATATATAATATTTGCCCCACAAAATGATGAAATATTTGCCACTGGCCTTCTAGTTTCTTTTCTTTCAAGGCTTAAAAAGCCTATTTGATTTCTGTGGCCGGATTGTGTCCAGGTACAGAAAGACACCCTTTGTGACTGGTTAAAAGCTAAAGAAAGGCTCTATTGAAACAAAATGCTGCTCATATCCCCATCCATGCCAGGAGGAACAAATTGCACAAAAGAGCCTAAAGAAAACTGTTTTATAGTTACTACTGTGTTACATTAGCTGACAAGGGAGAGATGATTACATTTATAGATTTTTTTTTCCTTTTATAGAGGCAGAATCTATATGCAGCTGAAGAATTATGTATTATCACCACTGGAATTTGAATTCAGCTAATGAGAACTAACAGCAAAGGAAGACGTCTAGCAAAGCTGCTTCGTCTTGGTCCTGTATATGGGCCATAAAATTAGGCTGCCTTGCTTCCCTTTGGGACCGCAGCACTGATCTGCAAATGTATTTGAAGATTCCATTTGTGCATCCATAAAAATATTAAAACATGCATCTCTTTAAAACATGCATCCAAAACTAATTATGAAGTTGGAAGCTATTAATACCAAGCCATCATTATAAAATAATACTTTATATTTGCATAGTGTTATGTACCTCTGTGCTTCAGAGCACAGTCACGGACCTAATCTCACTTAATCCTGGGAACTTGGTGAGGTAGATTGCATGATTAGTCTTTCCACTATGTAATTAAGGCAGCTGAACAAGACATGATCGTTCTCAATGCTGAAACTTTATTGTCCACCATTCATCACAATGAAAAAACTCTAACTTGAGAGAGAGAAACAGAAACAGACTCAGTTCTGTTACTTACTAGCTGTATAACCCTGGACAACTGACCAAACTTCTCTGAGCCTCAGTTTCCCCAACTGCAAAATAAAGGAAATAATACCTACTTCTTAAGAGTGGTGTGATAGTTAAATAAACTTAAAAGAAATAACTGCACTCAAAAATTATAGCTATTTATTCATCCACTCGTTCAGCAAATACTTCACTGTTTTTAGCAGTTGACAGACAAAAAAATACAAATCTAGAAGAGGCAAGTAATACAGCTATCCTGTTAAGATACAGTGCCAGCCTTCACGAAGCTCACAGACATGAAGGATGGTAGACATTTAAATAAACCATTAGAATGTAGTGTGATATTAAGGAAAGCAGGCCAGGGCCACCACATATAGCTGTGAAGGTTTTACACTGCACAATCCAGGGGACAACCTTTATGTCCCAGTGTATGTGAGTGATGACAACCCTAGAGGGGTGTAATGCACCACCCAAGAAGCCATACACAGCAATCCTGCTGGTAACAGAAAAAGGTTAATTAAGGCTTCATAGAGGTCATGTTGAATCTAGGTCACTTCAGAAAAGAGAAGAAGTGCATGAGAATACATGAAACGAATATGGAATTGTAAGAGCACCACTGCCATAGTAGATAGAGTATATATAAGACAGAAAAATGAAATTGAAAAGATAAACGAGACCACATGATGAATGGCCTTGCAAACCATGCCAAAGAATTTGCACTTGACTCTTAAAACAACGAAGTGCTTTAGTGTAAATATATGATTGTTGCTTTAACGTACCTTCAACACTTTCTATCAGCTCCTTGTTTTCATTTGGAGATTTGCATAGCCCTAAGGGTCGTACAAACAGAATGAAACCCAGGAATGTTATTGATGATGCAGAAACAACTGTACACAAAGCTTTGTGGCCAAGAGGGAGAACAGCTCTAGAATAAAGTCGACATCCTGGCAGGCACTGGAGAGAGAGGAAGAAACCAGGCTCCTGATGACTATATTGAACCTCTAAGTCTAACTTTGCCTGAAGTCCACCTACTTTGTGATCTTCAATTACGTGAACCAATAAAATTCTATTTATTATATTAACAAGTTTGAGTTCTGTTTTCTGTTACTTTTAAGAAAAAGATTTTTAACTGATATAGGTGCCAATGAAAGACTCTAAGCAAAGCAACATAACACTATATATGTTTTATAAAAATATTACTTGTAGCAGCTGGGAAAAAGATGTACCAAGAGAGGCCAGAAGTGAGTAGAACAGTCTTTCACCAGAATCCACACAAGAAGGGAAGTCAAAAGAAAGAGCTTATATATCCTGACATAAAAAATATTTTAGAGGAATACTTTTAAAGGATAAAACCTCATTGCAAAATAATTTGTATAATATGATCTTGTTTTAGTTTTTTTAATCTTCATTATTTATGTGCCTATGTGTCATTTCACATTTTACTACATATATTCTGTCTGATTTTTTTAAATGAAAATTTTGAGTTGTAAAATTTAAAGACAGAAAATTAAAGAAATAATGACCCAAGTGACCTACTTCTGTGGCCTTGAGTGGAAAGGATGAATTTGAGAGGCATTTAAAGTCAACCTTTCTAAAGCCATCCTTTAGGAAAAGTTCTAGCTCCACCTCATACACGACGCTTCTCTGGACTATCCTGCCCAGGGTGGTCTCCCTCCTTTTAACTCCTAATATTCTAGCTCCCTGGATAATCATTCAGTCCTACACATCCTGTCTTGCACCAAAGATTAACTTTTCATAAATGTGCATCTTCTAAATGGTTATAATCTCCAAGAATGTTTTTTTATAGCTCTACTCCACCTAGCTCTGTGCTTTGTATGTAGTAATTATTCAAATAGCCCCTGGTTAGCGGAGTGCTCTTTCCAGTACACTATACTGCCCACCCTGTTTCTGGTTCCCCAGCCTAACCCCCACCACCCCTTGACCTAATATAGAGAAGAAAGCCTGGGAATTTCCAAACGATTGCAAATACCTCTGTCTTGCCATGCTCAAAACTCTCCCAGCTTCCAGTTTTAGCACTGCCTCTGCATTACCAAATGGCTTTGGGGGAAGTCTCAACCTCCGTGGGTTTCTTTCTACCTATAGAAACTTCCAGAGAAACATTTGGAGAAGTCAAGATTAAAAGTCCAGATAGTCGGAACCTGTGAGGCACAAAAGGAAAAAGTAAGCTGATGGAGGAAGATAACATCGGAGAGGAAATAACATGTCAGAAGGAAGTACATTCTAGAGAAAGTGCAACTGATAAAGACATCCATTTGAGGAAAACAATAGGACAGGAGGGTGTAGCTAAAGACTTTGTACCAGAACTCATGATCCAATTACATCAATGGTCCCCAAAGGAATGGAACAAATGTTGCAAACAAGTTTGATTACGTTGTGTTTGTTGTCAAGGTCATTTACTCGTAAATGTTCATTGAGTGTCTATATTGATGAAGCTCTGTGGTCAGTACTGAGAAGACAGTGATAAAAAAGATAAGCATCATCCTGCCTGCCTGAAGCTTAAGTTCTAGTGAAGGATAAAGACAAGTCAACAATCTGTTGTAGTACAGTGTGATATGCTGAGTGCACTATTTAGAGGGCACGTTGTTTTCTGTCAGCGTACATTTGCATTTTCCTTGAAATACAAACCATAATGTTTGTGGTGCTCTGAATGAGAAATATAATGGGTATTGTGGACTGAATGTTTGTGTCTCCTCTCCTAATTCATATGTGAAGCCTCAATCCCTAATGTGACTATATTCAAAGATAGGACCTTTATGAAAGTACTTAAGGTCAAATGAGGTCAAAAGAGTAGAGCCTTAATCTGATAGGATTAGTGTCCTTACATGAAGTGACGTAACTAGGGAGAGCTCACGATCTCTTTCCAACACATGAGCACACAGCAAGAAGTCAGCTGTCTACAAACCAGGAGGAGAGATCTCACGAGAAACCAATGCTGAGAGACCTTGATCTGAAACTTCCAGGCTCCAGAACTGTGAGAAAATAAATTTCTGTACTTTTTTTTTTTTTTTTAAGATTTTATTTATTTATTTGACGGAGAGAGACACAGCAAGAGAGGGAACACAAGCAGGGGGAGTGGGAGAGGGAGAAGCAGGCTTCCCGCGGAGCAGGGAGCCCCATGCGGGGCTGGGATCATGACCTGACCGAAGGCAGATGCTTAACGACTGAGCCACCCAGGTGCCCCAAAATTTCTGTTCTTTAAGCCACCGAGTCTGTGGTGTTTTGTAATGGCAGCCTTAGCTGACTAATATAATAGGAAAATTGCAGAGCGTTACAGGAGCGCCTAACCCCATCTTAGAGTTCATAAAAGTCCTCCTAAGAGAAAATGAAATTTACTCTTAGGTCTAAAGGATGAGTAAGAGTTAGCAAGTCAAAGGGAAAGGTGGTAGAGGGGCTGGGGGAAGGTACTGAGTGGGGACGGTTTGCCAAGCGAGGAGAAGAGCAGGTGCACCCTGAGTGGACTATCAAGTGGGAGGGGCACAGCACGTGAAGAGATCAGCAGTGGCAGGCACAATAGGTCTTTTATAAACCTTCATAAGAAGTTTAGGTTTTACCCTGAGATCCATAAAAATGCTATAATGTTCCTACGATATTAAAAATTAATAATAACTGGAATCATTTGTTTTATGTAATTTGCAAACTATCTGGAAGGAAATTTCCACTTTTGCAGTTTTTCAAACATTTGCTCAGCACCACATGGTTAGTTTTCAGTGACATTTGTTTAATAAATGATGGGTTTAGGCCTTTTCTGAGGATATTATAATCCTTGTCTTACCATCACAGTGTGCCCACGTTCCAAATCAGAGGGTTTTTTAATCTGTTATTGACATTGTAAGAGAGTCTTTCTCTGAAACAATCCATATAATAACTCTGCCCTAAAATTCAGGTTCACGTTCGGGTTGCCTCCTAAAACTGAGCCCTTGCAGACCAGCCAAGACAGTGCTGGATTTGTGAAGATCAAGTTTAAAACATCCACTCTGACCTCCAGAACAGTTCTGTGTATTCTTGTACCTTCTGCAAGCTGCTGATTCTTGGATGAGTATTACCACTACAGTTTTACATTTTTCATCCTGCCGGAAAACAATAGCTAAATATCAGAGCATGAAATAATATTTTGTTCAGGGGTCTGCCAAGCATGTCAGGTCAAATTCTCCTTTTTTTTGGCCTTCGAATTGTTCTGTGAACTCCCATAATAGCATTGCACCACATTTGATCTTCAGGAAAACAGACTTCGAAAACAAGAGTTGATGGACCCTGATAGCCAGTTTCTTAGGTGTATCCTTCCAGCCACCCAAGCATGTGAGATAGTTACACTTTGATTTCAGGATCTTTGATACCTCCAAAATCCCCCCACAGCTCTCTGAACTCAAGGCTATTGAGAGTCCACTACATGCTGGACATACCTTAGTCTCAGCCTTTGGGGAAGATGCTAGCTCTCGGATATCTTCACAATACTTTTTCAAACTGTCCATTTCCTATAGTGTGTGTCTGGTGCACAAGGAAAAGCTCAGAGGGATAAAACTAAGAACTAGAGCTATGGGATGAGTACTGTGGCTCAAACCTCAGGTTGATAAGGTGAGAAAAGCCCCACCCAAACCTGGCACCACGGCTGATTGCAGCTGACAGCAAGAAGTCCTTTGGAGAAAAGATGTTTCTGTGATCAGTGATCTTTGAATATCCTATTCAGAAACATCAGGCTTGGAACTCACTGAGAGAATCTTCCTGAGAAAGCAAGGAGACTCCCAAATTGCTTCAGAGACAGAGCTATGTCAATCAACCCAGCTGAAATTCTGGAGGAAGATCAGATGGTGCAGGCGGAAAGGACCAGCTCGCTTGAAATTCTCTGCCAGGCTTTGTGTAAGGCTCTGTGGTAGCTTGGCCAAGGCATTGGATCTATTTCATATAGAAATGATATTAAATGAGTACCCTGCCAGAATAGCTATTATCACTTCTAGTGCTATATTCTCTCTGCTAATATCTTTCCAGGTTCTCCTCTTTCCTCTCGATTAGTTATCAGCCCTTCCACCAACTTGTGCAAGGAAGTGAAGCAAACAGGTTTCAGGTGGAGGAAGAAGTTGAACTGATATGGAATCACGGGAGAGGCAGATCTTACAGGGAACTCGGAAGCTAGCATCACCTTTCAGAGTTGTCCCATAGTAAGGCAGGGAGGTGGGGCTTTATATTCCTAAACTGAGAGGTGATTAGGTGATGGCTGCTCCAGCAAAGGGTCATGACCTTGGGGAAGGCAATCTCTGGGGAGGGCTCAACTGTGAGGCCTCAGCAGAGACACCCCCAGAATCTGGGGAATGGGTGTCTTGGACCAAAGGGGGACACGAACGGTGCCCCAAGCATCTTCCATATCCTCTCACCCCAATAATGTGAGGAGCAGCCCAAGGGGTAGAGGGAATCTGGCTGAGGGCCATTTAGCTGCTTTTTCTCCCCTCTCTATTTAGATCAGCATCCCCTTTATCCCCTTTCCTCTGTCCTAAATTCTAGTGTGTTAGAGGAGTGCTCCAATGGACTCCTGTCTCCGCGCCTTCAAAAGTGTCAGACTAAGGCAGGCGGCTTAGGCCATGGGTCTTGTGATGTTAAGTTTGCAAAACTTAATGCAGTGCTTTGATAGGTTTAAATAGATTAGGTGATATATATATATTTTTTTTAGAAAAAAAGGAATTTCTAATACTCGCTTCTAATTTTTATTGCTAGCTTTTAATTGCAAATGCACAGTATTTCGGCTACATTTGGGTCCAATTGATTTTTGTCCACCGTCCAAGAAGCCTTACAGCCGTTGTTTCTATGGGAAAATGTATACTGAGTTCCAAAAGCTCAAAAGAAGTCTTGGAACAGTGCCCAGGTGGGGCTGGCCGCACAGGTAATGGCTGCAACGAGCACGTTATAATTGTCAAACCCTTCAAACACACGTAGGAAGAGCATCAGCCCATTAAGAGCTGAAGTTGCCTTTTAACTGTGCCCGGTGCAAACTGACGCTGGAGGGCAAAATATTGTTCTCATCAATTTGTTCCCAACAAATAA